AAGTGCCGGGCTTCCTCAGCCTGAGACCCCCCCAAAATTGACAGGCTTTGGAAGGTGGTCAGCACCTACCTAGAGTTCCTGATCCCCTCCAGTTCCAACAGAAGATTCTTGTATATTCTTTTCATTCTTCACTTGAAGGGCTCCAAATCTGCAGACTGCATTCTGTCGTGCTGGGTCCAATCTTGTCCGCTCTCACCAGGCACACCTGTCCACGGCGTTGCTCCAGCAAGGCGAGGGCACAGGTGACCTCGGGGTTTTGACAAGGCAGATTGGTGACCAAATGAGTTACTAGTAGCAAGAAGCTACTAGGTGGAGGCCATCTCTATTAGATTGGAGGCCATTACCACTAGTAGCAAGGACGCTCGTTAACCTCGGTGACCGAGGTCAGCCAAGTGCCGAGCAGCCTAGCAGACCTAGCAACTACACTCCCTCAAATCATCATGGGTGGCTGTGGAGTGAAAACTACCCACCTGTTTGGTATTCGGATTTCTGAATTTCATGGTCATCCGAAATTTCAAGGTCCGTCTTCTTTTTCATCCAGCTCTTCCACATCCATTATCATTATTTCAGGAATTGTAGAGGCCAAAAGCTTGGTCAGTGCTCTTTTTCATGGCGGTTTTCGTGAAGCTTTGCCCAACCGCCCGTCAGCGGCACTCGCGATGCTACCGCTGACCGGTCAGCCTTGTTAGTCCTCATCGCTGTCTGATGTGACAGATTCTATCTTTCGTTCTGTTCCCCCAAATTCCTGGCCCGCGTGGCGCCCGAGATTTGAGTGGAACATCGGATCTTTGTTTCACAGGACTGGTCCGAGAATGTCGTTCCTGATTAAGACTGTAAGTCATGGGCCGCAAAGGGGCCACTTCGTGAAGGTCGAACCGGTGCGTCTTCACACGACGGTCTCGCCATGACCCCGGGCCGATCCGTCCACCGGTTGCAGCCGGTGGGCCTCGAAGCGAAGCGAAGAAGGGCGAACATGACGGAAAGCGAAGCAAAACACGAGTAAGGCGGACGGGTTGCTGGCGCTGGTTCATTGACAGAGACACGACAGTAGGGAAAACAGGACAAACATGTACAAACTATATATATATTATCGAAACACGTCGCCCAATTCTTGAGAGATGTACTCTGGATGCAGCACCATGATGGCACGAAACCAAGAGTGCTCTCGAAGAGATGCACCATGATGCACTCCAGTAAACCAGTGCCAGGGTCGGCAGCTGACACATGGAACCAATAAAAGCATCGTGCAATAAGCATATATGGCATACATGGAGCGTCTGAGATATATATGAAATACTTGCAGATATTGTGTTCATATCGAAAACATATCAAAAACAGCACTGTTATAGTTTTCACAGCGTCATCACGTGTTCAATCAGCTTCCAACTTCTCGTTGTGCCCGCCGTCCGCGTCCCACGAGGGCCTCTCGATACCAGTAGAGCGCTGCCCGGACCTCGGCGACCGGTCTTTGGCGACGAGCGAACTCGGTCACCAGAGGGGTCAACACGCTATGCTTTGGGTCCTTGGAACCTGTAACCTGCATAATCCTGCATCTTTGTTTGGGGGGGAAATGCAGCTTAGTCAAGCTAGATGCAACAAGCATGAATCTCTGTTCAGAAACTGAATTCAGAAAGAATGACAAGGCATTCATAGATGCGTTTGAACACTGCACGTTCAGCCATTAAAATTATCTGTGTGCATGAGTTTCTTTTGTATGTGCTTGGCATGTTCCAACGAAATCGCTCATATTAGATGCTCCTGGTCCTTTCACTCACAGGGAATTTGCTTGGTCATACCAAACCAAATCAGTTCCTTCCGAAATTCCTTCCACACCCAACGCCCCGCGCGCGGATATGAGTGATTTTGGCAGTCGAGGCACATCATTTTTGGCCTCGTACGCACAGCCCAAGTTGCCTTGCTGATTGGGGTAGCGCGCTTGGAATTGCCCCCATGCTGCAGCACAAAAAAGGAGATCAAACACGTAGTTTCGTAGATCTTTCTTCCCAATCTTTTCATGCTTTGTGGGTATATTTATCTAGCAGTCTTATACATATTTCTTTCGATTAAGGCAATGGCCTACGAATCTTGTTCAACACAATGACAATGTGTTCTCTTATTTCTCTTATCTGTCACAACAATGGGTCTGCAGGTCCGCTTCTGAGGTGTTGCCGTTTCCTGGCATGCAGTGGTGTGGGGGGTTCCTCACACTGTCCTTGTTTTTTCAGAAGACACAGGTCACCAGCCCCACAAGACATCATCACCCAACGCACTGTTGGGGGATCCTTCGGCACATGTGGCTACCAACTTCTCAGTTTGGATCCGAAAACCGAAGTGATCCAGCAGCTCTCCGTTTCGTGACGAAACACCAAGGGATTTCAGGGTTTCGCCACCTTTTCAGGGTCTCAGCCACGTTCATAATGTAGTCTGGATTCTATTTCAAGCCTGAAGAGGTTTTACAATCCATGTCTGGGGGGGCGTTCTATTTTCATAGATATAATGTACAATTGTAGTATATATATATATACTGTACAATTATCTGTTTTCTTCATCGAGTCTACATTACTGAGCAGTCTACACCTGGGTGTCCCCGGCCACAAGCAATATGGCTGAAGGGTGCCAGCTGACGTGCATCGTGCAGCTCCCGGATGGACCTGCGTTGTGCAGCGGTCATGAACGTGCGTCGGGAGCTGCAAGAAACAACCAAATGGCTTTGGCACCGATGAATGGAGTCCACGGATTCCATTGGTTGAACAAACGCTTGGCTGTGCTTGCTTGGTTGGCCACATGAAACGGATAATGATGTGTGTGTGTGATGGTGTGTGTCGACATGTCTGTTGCATCTTTGCGACTCTCTTTGCATGTTTGCACCGGAATGCGTCAGCATTCGGATTTCCCATGCAAAAGGGATTGGACACTTGGTGTTTGGCACGCAGCAAGTAGGTTTCTTCCAATCATTGTCCGCTAAATACATTGTAAGTAATCAACTTGGGCTATTGTGCTGGAAAGCAAAAGAAGACAAACAGGAAGATTCCTGACAAACAAACACCCTTGCCCCAAACGCTAACCTTTGATGAAACTTTGGCATACCAGCCAAATCATCAAAGCCACTGAAATGAAGATATGTACAAACTTAAACATTAAAAAACATCAAACTGCATGTCTTAGCTACATCTCCTGCATGAATCTGCATGAACCGAGTTTCTTCGAGGCATTCTGTCAATGCCGCTAGATTCTAGATCTGACCTGTTCCATGTTTGAGTAGAGGCTCTGCCTGTTCGAGCAAACAACAAAGTATCATCATATATCATCATATTGTTTTTGTTATTATTCTTATTCTTTATCTTCTTTGTCTTCGTCTTCTTCTCCTTCTTCATTTTCATCATCATCATCAATGGTTGAATTGTTGGATTCTGGATGAAGTATGAGGCAAACACATCGCTCACACTGACACACGCGCACTAGGCTGTGGAGCGATCCCAGAAAAGGCCACATGCCGTGAGCAAACAATTTGGAACTCACACTGGGACTTTGGCTACAATCTAAAACTACCATTGTGCTGACTAGATCGGTTCTCACAAAGCTGTTTCTCACATTCTTCTTTCTCCAAGGCCCCGAACTCCTCGATGCGTCCCTCGTGCAAAAGCCGCGCGCCCAGCTTGGTGGCGCGGACGGCCTGAAAACCAGCTTGCACGGACCATGCGCGAGTTCACGCTCAAATCCATGAACTGTCTATGTCAGTTTTAAACACATAAACATAATACCATCCAAAGAGGCCGAAGTTCTAGATCCCGCAAAGGTCGGAATCTGAAGGCTGTGTTGTTGTTCTTTTTCTTTCAAAAAATGATCTAAGTATAACATATGTTGAATATAGCCTGAGTAGAGTTGTTTGAGGGATCTTCATTTCACCATCTGCTCGTCAGATCTGGGCATCTCCACCCCCAAAAAATGAAATCTGGCTGGCATGTCCAAGATGGGCCGATCATGGGAGCTCTGATAGTGCACATCTAGGTGGCTGATACTGGTCATAGGGATGGACGAAATATCAAATGTACATACATATACTCACAGGGGACACGTTTCTGAGTCCTTGAGACACCCCGCGTTTCCGTGAGAGATGACTAGACACCCCGCGATGAACACCCCGCCATTCCCAGCGATTCACTTCGCTGGTCATGACACCTTCGCCACGCGCGCCGCGCCTCGTGGGTGAAGGATCAAAAAACTAAATAAGGATCAAAAACATAATAAAGCAATGAGATCAAGAGAAAAACTAATAGAGATCAACAAAAAAATCTGGTGACGTAGTAACAAAAACAATTGACAAACGAGGATCAAAAACAAAACAAATAAGAATCAACAAAGAAAGAACAGTAATGTGTGCAGTGGCAACAGTAGTAGTGACCGTCGTCGTCGTTGTCGTCGTTGCCGTCGTCGTCGTAGTCGTAGTCGTAGTAGTAGTGGTAGTAGTGGTAGTAGTGGTAGTAGTGGTAGTAGTGGT